CCCTCCCCATTATTACCAGGAGACGCTTAACTGGGCTGGGGTGACAGTCAACAACGAAGGTCCCCGCCACCCTCTCCGTCGGAAGACGCGGTGCTGGCACCAGGGGGGTGCCAGGAGGGTGGTGTGTACCTCCCACCTCACCCCCCCTTTTTGCCTTTTGCAGCTCCAGGAGTGACCCATGTCATTGTGCGCGAGGATCCCTACCGGGTCTCCGGGGACCAGATGGCCCTGGGGCTGCTGGCCGGGGCCGCCACTGGCGCTGCCCTGGGCTCCTTCATGTGGATGCCATGCTGGTTTTAGCAGCCCTCCCCAAAAAAAGCTGGGTGAGGCCCCCCCAGCCCCCTTGAACACCACTCCCTTGGCTTGGTACCCGCCAAGAGCCACCCAGAAACAACCCACTTGACACCCTGCACCCTGAGGACGGAGATCCAACCCTCACCCCACTCCACACCCCCCTCTCAGCCATGGCTACTGCATTAAACCACTCCTGTGTTCTTCAGAGACCCCAAAAACTCCACCCCAAACCCCACAGTGCCTGATTCCCACCCACAAAGGGCCCAAGGAGCTGCTGGGGCTGCCCCCAAATCTCTGCAAGAAGCTGGCTGCAGAAATCCTCCTTTTTTGAAACATGGGGGAGTTATCTGGGGGGAAGTGGCTAAATTTTTTGGCAGGCCCAGCTTGGCCAGGTGAAGCCAAGGGCACCGCTGCTTTGTATGGGCTTTTTGGTGGGGGGAGGCTCCAGATCCCAGAGTGGGTGCTGACAAGAGAGGAAACCCAAAGGATGCTCAAGAGACAGGTTAGATGGAAGATTAAGGGGGCTAAAACCCTTCACAGGATTTTTCTACTCCTTTCCAGCCTTACACAAGTCTCCTGGGCTGGAGAAATGGTGCAAACCCCCTGGGAATTGAGGCCAAATCCCTGGGAATTGGGCTGGGAAGAGGCCTAGGAACATCAGAGCCAAGCAGGAGTTACTGCAGGAGTGACACACAGCATCCTGAGCTTCACTCCATTTTTTTGGGAAGGGGAGAAATGACACCTGGGGGCTACAGGGCAGCTTTCCCTGGGGATCACGGACCTTTTCTGGCAGCCCAGCCAGGATCTTTGAAGCAGGGATTTGGGATTGGGGAGGGTTACATGGTCCCTTTGGGTGGGGACAAGAGGCAGCTCATGGTATTGCAGCACCAGGCAGAGGTGGAAGGGGTGGGAGGAGATGCAGCTGACCAGCGTAACCCCCAGGGGCACGATGTCACCCTGGAGACACCCCCAATGTGAAACGACATCGGGAATTACAACCAAAACCCACAGCTCAATAAAAGCCAGCCCAGTGACACCAGCAGCCCAGCCCACTCAGTTTGTCCCTGGCCCTGCCGGGGGGGTCGGGATATCCCAAACCTCCGGCCCCAGCCTGCCCCGGCCTCCTGTCCCTCGCTGCTGCTGCAAAAACCCGCTCCCGTCAACTGCATCGACTTTTTGGAGAGAAAAAGACAAAAAGCAAAAGGCTATCTGCAGTCTAATAAAAGTAGCAAAGAGTGAGACCCAGCCTGCGGGTGAGTGAGGATGAGGAGGGGGCTGTGCGTGCTCCGGGGTCGCTGGTGGGTGGCAGCTTTGGGTGCCCTGCAAGAGCTGCGTGGGGACGTGCCCCCCCGGCGCCCCTTTTCCTCCCTGTTTTTTCAGCAGGGAGCTCTGAGGGCAGCTCAAGGGGAGGGGCAGACTACCAGAAAGCTCAAAACCCCCTTTGCCTGTGAGAAAGGGGCTGCAGCAGAGGTGGCAGCGCCCAGGCACGGTGTCCCCGTGCTGTCCAGGTCGAATCCCGACCCTGTCTCCGTCCGGGAAGGGCCCAGTGTGGCCAAGGGCCCCGCCGGCCCCGCTTTAGCCTGAGATGGCTTCAGAGCATTGCTAGCTCTGCTTAACCGGCACATGATTAAAGCTGAGGTTGGCCTGCCCCCTGCTTTTAGGAAAAACCCAGCAATTTCTAAGCCAGGGGTTGCGACTTTTCCCCACAGCCCCCTCCATAAAACTGCAGCTTTCAAGGAGTGGAGAGAAGGATCCGGCC